CATTTATTTAATTCCTAAAGTAATCACTTCTATCATTTGTTAGTATTTTTGCGAACCTTATTCTGAGATAAATGGAACAAATATTTAGTATGCAAACAATTAAAAATTAATTGAAGACAGATTGAATGGAAATTCCCTCCTATAACTAATTATTAGAAATATTAAATAATTATCTTAAAATGCAAGGATTCTTCAATTTTTCATTTCAACTATGCAAATTATAAGCACATATTTGGTTTCAGGTTTCAAAAATAAAAATAAAAAAAAAATTAACCGGACAATGGGTTAGCTATTGGAAATTGTTAGAAGAATGCATCCATCACCACATCTCTTCTTCAGTTCTTTATTCTCTATCTTATCGTACTACTATTTTCTATTTTATTTATAAAATTTGAAAGGCATTTCCTGTATGTATTATTGGTTTGCCATGTATTACATCCCTATATTTTCATTTATTTTAATTCTTGTAACAAATAAGAAAAGCATTCATAGATTTCGATTCTGTAAGAGAATAAATTAAATTAGATGAATAGAACTGAGTTTAACCATCGCTATCCATTGGTATTAGCATTATCTCAATGAGATCCATGATGTTAGCTGTTTTTTTTTTTGATATATTTGTTAATAAAGATATTAGTAATTTAAATAAATTTGATAGGAAAGTTAAAATAAATGAAAATTCAAATTGAATGTTGATGATTTTGAATTTTTTTTCTTTTGTGACATCATTCTAGGAGTTAATTTTGAAATGAAATATCTTCTATTCTTCGTTAGTAATTTTACAGTTTTTTGTGTTTTTTTTTTTAGATCATTTATTCTATTGTTTCTGTAGATATATCTGTCTTCTGTTGATATTCAAATTTTTAATAAAATTTGAAATTCATAGGCAGCCTGAAATTACCTGCAGATAATTGAGCTTAATTAACTCATTTCCATCGATGAAATTAATATAATAAGATATTTCACGTCACTTTTACAACAACTTTTTTTTTCTCACTGCAATTGTATTCAAATAGTGATTGGTGAATAGTAAAGATTATTATCATTGATTGGGTATCACTAATCATTCTTCAATCTCACACTTTCCATCAACCAACACCTGTGTTAACATAATAACTGGTTAAAGAATACGCGGTAAGAAAAAAAAAAAAGTCTCATTTACATCTCAGTACCTCGCAGTGTAATTATGGTAGCAAAAAAGTTCCATCTCATGCTCATAGTGATGAGCAGGGTAATAAGAAATAAAATTATCATTAAAAAATTCAAATTTAAATAGATTTTAAGGCTTTGAAAATTTTGTCTTTGGTGATAGCTTTACCGTGTTCATAGTTTTAAAAATATTTTAAGCAATTTGAAATATATCAATTATATACTGTAAAAGAAGTGTAAATGATAATAAATCATTAAGCATTAGATTTAGTTTTTTTTTCTTTCTTTCTTTTATAAATTGAATACAGCATAATGTAGTCAGCAATGCTTCAAAATATTTGCAATTTCCATTTTATTCTTTTTTAATTCAAACCTTTTTTTTTGAATTTTTGTATTAATTTTCCTTTTTGCATACTTCAATTAATATAATTTTTATTTTTTAAATAATATCGAAAAGTTCAATTGTTAACTCTATACGAGTAATAAAATAATGTGAAATTTTATGATTAAATATTTGATGGAAGTTCATATAATAGTGCTAGCGATTCTATTTTCCATTCGAAAACCCATTTTTATTATATTTCTTGGTTTATTTAGTCTTGTCACGAAATCTTTCTGGATTTCTTCTTCATTTTCTGTAAATGAAAAAGTTTCTGCAAAATTTGATGGCACATTGAAAATAAAACAATCGCTGTTACCGTCATTGCAACTTCCAATTAGTAAAGGGGCAAATTATTTGATAACATTTTTGTGAAGTAATTTAGATAGTCCTATCGTTGTCAATATTAATATGTTGTAATGGATTGTGTCCTTTGATTTAAATATACTTTGCTTCATGTTTTGATATATATTCCTAAAATAGACTTATCATTTGTTTTATGATATATGATACTTCGTTTATTTCAAATGAATGAATTTCAATAAAATTGAATTTCAATAACATTTTGTTGTAGTAGAAAGTAAATCTTCGTTTTTGCATCCAATATTTTCATACTGCATATAGTAATATTCCTTTTGTAACCGTAATCATACAGTCATCAACTAATATTCAACAAAAGTTGATTACAGCATTTTTTTTTCCCCCTTTCTTTTTATCATCCTATAATCCTATTAGCATTACGATGTACATATAATAGGATAAAAATTTTTATGCTAAAAAAGAAATAAATTAAAATAATTGTATTATAAAATCATTGTCACAACAATGCACAGATATTTAAACGTATCATTATTCATTATTCAACAAGTTTTGATAACAATAAATTACTATTGATTTTTGGTATAGTAATATCATTATTTTGATATAGTGATAGTACTATTTCGATATAGTGATATCACTGTTTCAACAGTAATATTGACGGTACAGTGATATCACTTTCCTCATTTATCCCCTAAATTTTAAAGCCGAAAATAAACAAGTTTTTTGAAAAACTCACAGCTATGTCAAATCCAATCAATTTACCAATTTACCATACAATTTTTCTCTCGAAAAAAAAAATTTATTCCTTATGAAAGTATTTATGAAACATATAAACATATCTATTCCTATAGCTTATGATGGAAAAGGAATGAAATATCAATGAATTTTACAACATTTTGAGGATAACTAAAAAAAATTTTTTTTTTTAGTTGTGTTTTTCATTTAAAATCATTTAATTATTTGTATTGAGATAATACTTTGAAATATAGAGATTTCACTAGTAACATATTAATATGATGCATGTTTGTTAAGTGGAAATGAATAATTCGATTAATTCTATGAAAATGAATCAAAAGATTAGAGAAAAGCTAATTTTCCCATTCAATTACGAAATTTTAAATGTAAATTACGATGAAGTTTTTATTTTATTTTTTCAAGTTTAAATTTATCATTTGGCTGCAAATGTTTACCAAATGACTGCTGCTATCGCTATTGCTCCTGAAAGTTTCCTTTAAATCATACAAAACCTTAGATTGCTCGTTCGGGTATAGCATTTCATCCAACCATTATTCACATAGTTTATTTCAAAGCAATCATAAGCAGGTTGTATTAAAATTTTCCTCTTAGCATCTTCATAAAAAGAATCGATTAATAAGATGGAAAAATTAATTATTTTTTAACAGTTTTAAACAAGGCCTAATTTTTCCTATTTGTTTGAAAGAAAAAAAAATGCATTTACATTTTAATTAAATTGCAAATAACGCCGAAAGTTTGCATAATATCTTTTTGCTAATAAAAAGTTAGGATAATTCTTTGAATTTATTCAATTCCATCAGTTTTGATCTCAGAGATTTTAAGACTCTTTTTTGATGTCAAATAATGTCGAAACTTTCGGGAAAATTAATTTTTTGAAAGTCTTTTTTTTTCTAAACAATATATTAATTTCATTTTAAAACGAATTGAAATTCAAACAACTATTAGGCCAAACAACAACCAACAATTATTAGGAATTTGTTTTTTTTTCTTTCTTAATCTGTTGGGCTATTTAAGGATGAAAGGTAAAAGGGAGTCGGGAGGGTAGCATTAATTGAAATGTAAATATTCGATGTCCGAAAAAAAAAATAAATAAATAAAAGTCAGCGGGAAACACAACCGAGAGGATGTCTATACTTTTAATACAATCAACACCCTTCTCTTCTTTTTTCATTAGAATTTGACATTTCAATTTTTTTTTCGCAAAAAGAAAAAGTTTCGAAAGTTGAAAAGAAAAAATTCCGGCAGAGTTGAACCATTGATATTCCATTTCATCCAATAAAAAGTTGAATATTTATTTACTTTAATGAAATCTTCCACCAATTACTTATTATCAAACACTTTATGATTACTTATTTGAGAGAATTCAAAAATATTTACTTGTTAATTGCCGAAGAAATATTTCGCGTAATTAAACTTTCATCAAAAAAAATTAAGATCTTTTCTTGCAAAATGCACATTATCCGGAAAGGTTGTGAATTTTGGGGATAGAGCGCTTTCCGGAACAGTTTCACACGTTTTTCTATAATCCTAATCACTCGTATTTTAGAAACATTTGAAAATCTATCACTTGACGATATATAGGTCATTTCAATTTAACAAAAAATAAAAAAAAATTTTGTATTTTGATATCCTATCTAGAAATTTATGAGTTTTGGAAAAAATGTCAAATTAAAGTTTCATTTGAATCAAAACTGGATTTAGTATCCGAATTTAAAATGAGAAGCATAAATGATATTTTAGTTTGAAGTTGATTTAAATTCCAAAATTTCCACATGAAACTTATCTTTAGCACTGAAAGTACAGCATGAATACTGTAATGAGAAGTAAATAATATAACTATGCTGAAAATGAAGAAATTTAAGAATAGATGAACATTGCTAGGAGAGTGCGATATTTTCTCAAGAAATTGGGCTATGGATGACATTTTCAGTGCCCAAGTACTATCGATGCTTTCTTCCATATGGAAGCAATCTTCCGCGGGAAAAAGGTCAAATTTTTCGATTTATCGATTTTTTCTTTTTTGCAAAACATACTTCATTCAAAACAAATTTATAAACTTAAATTGTCCCATTCATAGATTTATGCACTTCTTGAGCTTGTTGATTAGTCCTTATTATGAAATGTCTTAAAATCACAATCAGTTCGAAATTGACATTTATCAGAAATTTATCACAAAGCCTTTTCCCTAGACTTTGATCAATTATCTTTGAAATTTTAACAAAGTTGTGGCAAAGAATTAATGCATCCTCTATGATTAGTATCATCACATTTATGATAATATTATTGCCTTCCTTATCATCAATACAGCTAGATGCTATCATGAAGCTTCTGTTACGTTATTTACAATCCAGCCGAGCATTTGAAAGTACATTTTATCTTGAAATTTAGAATGCTTTTAAATGTAAACAATCGTAACAGCTAGCTGCTTTTTCTTCTCACCTGTGCTTAAGGTTTTGTGTAACCAGCTGTTCAGCGTTAAAACAATATCCTTATTTGCATGAACTGGACAGCACTCAGTGCCTAGAAGAATAAAAATGATAATGAATGAATCATAATTCGAAAAAAAACAAACAAACAAAAAAATTGAAAAATTTTAAATTTAAATTTAAATTAAAAAAATTATTTTGTAATATTGAGATGATTTTTCTGCTCTTTTATTTTTCCAAAAAACATTAATAAAGAAGCAAAAGGAAAATTCCCAAATAGTCAATGATAATAATGGAAACAAATGATAATTTCTTATTGAATTAAATTTAATTTAAATTTATTTTACTATCCTTATTAAATTACATTTTTTCTTTTTTTAAACCGTACTATTCTACTCACACTCGATGAGATTTATACTTAAAATCAAAATAAAACAGATTAGCGTTCTTGGTAGTAATCATAAATAAAGAGATTAGGAATAATACGGAAGATGGATAGATATACCGGAAACGGTATAACTGATGATCTATCATGTTTGGAATAAATATTCCATAATAACTATCATCTCCATATATTACGTCATAAATGAATCTAACGATTTTATGCCCTGTTTATTATCGGAAGATTTGATAAATAATTGTTTGACTTCATTTAATTATCATTTCCCTTCATTAATAGTCATAAAAATTTTTAAAATTTTGAAATTAAACGAAAAATTTTAGGAAATTTGGAAAAATAATCATTTACTTTAGATTATTTGAAAGTTTACATGGTATCAAAGCTAATACTAATCTAGCAATAGATAATAATTTTTTAAATATGCATAATAATCATTGTGGAATAGAGATGAGAGATATATGGATACTTCGAATATTGATTGTTTGGATGATAAGTGATCGAGAATATTTGTTTTTGTATGTATTATATGTTAAAACAAGTAAATTTGATCGATCGGATTGAATCGGATTGGATCGGATTGAATCGAATGAATGTTTCAAATATGGTTGATTCTGAAGTTTTTTTTTTTTTTTTTTGTAAAGCATCCAATAAAACGTAACCATAAGAATTATATGTGTAATGGTAGATTGATGTTTTTTAAGGACAGTAAAGGAAGAGCAGAAAAAAAAAAAAAATTGTGTTAGCTGTTGGCAATGCCATTTTGGACGCCGTAAGGTCTGTGATACACAAAATGGTTAACGGATCGGATCGTTCAAAGGTTATAGCTTCTAAAAGAAGAGGAAGAGAAAAGCCGAAACTACAAAAATGAATACATTACATTTACCCATCGTGATATGTGCCACTATCACAACTATCACCACCCCCGCCAATAACCAACCAATTTTTGCATATCACAAAAAAAAAATTTGTTTTTAAGGGAGCAAATTGGATTGCAAGAACGGATGGAACACATTGACAATTTAGATGGAAGCAAATCACAAGTTGCAATAACGAATAGGAAAAAAGTTTAAAAAAACAAGATGACATGTTCATTAAGCTACCAAACAAACAGGAAACATTTCGGGAATCTGGTCGAATACTTCTTGTTCGATTAAAATTGGCATTCGATGAAAATCTATCAGTCAACAAATATACTATTTGTTTTTGAAATTCTGTGAAGTAAAAAATGAAAAAAAGAAAGTCGAAATTGATTTTTCAGAGGAAACAATTTGATGATTTGTGTTAGTGAATTGTTTTCTGGAAAATTTCTGCAAAAAAATTAGAACTGTATGAGAATTATTAGTAATTTTAGAAATTGTAAAACTTTACAGATATTATTAACAGAAGGACAAAAGGATTGACAAATCGATGAACCGACATTTATTTTTCATTTTCAACAATTTCTTTCATCTTTCAGTAAGGAAAAAAAAAATCTTTTCATCAAAGAAGCTTTAATAATAGTCCAAATAGTATTAATGGCTAAAAGCATTTCCATCAATTGAGCTAACCAAAAGAACTAAAAAAAAAAACTTTAGAAAATATGATATTTTTGGTATTTTATGCTAGCCATAGTGGCGTCATCACTTAGCAATTGTTTATTTGTTTGTATGTCCCATTGGATGATTATTTCCAAGGGAAGAATAAAGTTTTTTTTTTTTTTATCACAATACAAAAGTTTTTCTAACCTTTAATGACCCTTCTTCAAATGAATTAAAAAAAAAGGAAAAGGGAAACATTGGTAATGGCTCCGTTTTGGTTACTGGTTACTATTGCAAATGTCTTTGACCACTTGATGAATACGAGTGCTGTCTGGTTAGCCATAAGCATTTCAATAAGATACTATCATGCTTATATGCAAAACCATTTCATTTCATTCATGTTTAAAAAATTAACAACTATGGGAAGTAGCAATGGCAATTACTTTCCCATAAAAATGTTGTTAAAAAAAAATGAAATGACTGATATTGACCTTGTACAAGGAAAAGGTCAACATTTTTAATTTATTGATTTTTAAAAAACTGACTTCATTTAAATGATATTTATAAGTTTTGAATTATTTCATTCATAGATTCGTGCAATTCTTGATCGTGTCGATGAGTTCGTATTATGAAATCTTTTCAAATAATCAATACTTCAAAAAATGGTACTTTAGACTAAGAAGTAAACAATTTGATTACCTCAATAAATTATCAAATCACTTTAAATCCTGAATATTTTCTGGTTTATTAGCAGCACTTTGATCTAGTCTAATCAAAATTAAGCTTTAAAAAAATTTCCGCAATTCAGCCAGTTCTCAAGGTTAACTAAACTGTTCGAAAAACAATGTTTGTTATGTTTTTACCAGTACAAATTTCAAATTTTGAAGTTAAATATTTGAAAAAAGTTTGAATTAGTTGACTATAGCAGGTGCTATCAGCTTTTAGTTAACAGTTTTCTTAGGCTTCTTTTCAGCAAAATTAGGTATTATTTAAGGGAAATTCTTTTTTTTTTTCATTTTTATTTTCAGAAATTTTCAATATTTTGCTAAATTTTTAAACTTTAAAGAAATGCAACATTTCGTTAACTTATCCAATTACCAATTATTTATTCAAATTTAATTAATTCATTAATATGTACGAAAGTAATTGTTGATGAAATTGTTTGCTTATAACGGATCGATAGCAATCATACATTTATTTTCATCTTTTACACCATTTCTAGACAAATATTTGCTCCTTTACCATTTTTACTTGTTAAAGTTGTTGTGGCATCATTTTAGTAGTGTTGTAAATTGCCCGTACTGTGAAGTACCAATGATTGCGGTAAGCGATTACTCACCGATACTTAAGCAAACAACTCTTCACATCTTACTTTTCCTATCATAGCTTTGTGTAAATATTAATAAATAGAAACAGACATCTTTTGCTCTTTCTTCAATCACTTACAATTATTTCTCCTACTATTTATTACTGTAACTTTATTAAAGAGTAAAACTATCTGAAAAGCATAGCAGTGAATGATACTTGTTCGATGGCACGATTTTCATTACTTTCAAATGATTTAAATTAAAATGATACCACAATTGAAAATCAAATCTTGTCAATATAAATAAGAAACTCTAATCACTTAGAAATGTCCTTATCGATATCTACTTATACTTTGATAAGAATGATGATAGTAGTAGGTTAGTTCAATTTAATTCATTTTAACTTATTTATGAAAAGTATAATTGCTGATGGCGTAAATGTCTCAACTTTCCATTGTGTTGATGGACGAACATTAACATGAGTTGTACTGCAGAATACCATGGACAATACTTCAGAAGGGTCATGTCGTGTCAAATATGCATATTTGCATGAATCGATTGTTGTAGAAATTTGAAACTTCAAAAATAATGAAAAGATAGTAAAATGTCGACCATAGATCAGTCTGATGAATTCCCCTATACCGTAATGTATTTTTGGATTACTGATTAACTTCATTGTTCTCAAATAATTTTGATGAAAATTTTATGCATAAAGCTGATTATGTATGTTAAATGAAAAGTTTATGAAGGATGGTATTTTATGAAACTACAGTATTCGATATTACTGAATATTTGCCAATAGCAATGGTAATTATTATGTTAAGGAGAATGTAGGCGTTAATCAGATTTAGTGAGTGACATCAAATTGCCTTACGCAACTAGTTGTCAACTCTTCGCATCTTACTGAAATAAACAACAATCCTGTTATTCTCTTTACAATCGTTTAAAATTACTTTATATATATATATATATATATATATATATATAATA